ATGGAAACTATGTGAGCACCACTCACTCCAAAGACAAGCGCCCGTAATGGATCACAATCCTATTTCCTGCTGCGTGAACTCAGCCTCAGAAGCCTTCTCGACAGCAGTGGAAGCAGTGGATAGAAAATACCAGTAGAATACTATTTGCTGCCCATCGTCTAGGATTAAAATATCTAATTAAAAGCTTCATAGGTCGCTGCTTTCCTCACTATACTGATTGCCTTTTCTGAAATTTTCAAATTTGTTTTCATTTTGACAAATTATTTATTTTTCAAGAAAAAAAATGACCTCTTATTGCATATTTTTAAATTCCCCACATCACCTCAAACACTTCTAAATATACATTAGGGACTCAATAAATATCCCTAACTTGAGTAGCCTAAGTCCTAGAACTAGAAGACGGACATATGACGGACAGAGAGGACCTGGTCTCAGACATCTGTACAGGGTGTCCCTTCTCTCCAGGTGCTTACAGGAGGAATCACACACCAAACAGCCTCAACACATGACATCCTGGGAAACTGGCAAAGAATTGTAGAATTTCCGGTTCCTTTTGTGTTACAGGTTTCCAAAATATGAGGAAATATGCCAAATGCCTTTGGCTTTCAAATGATAATATTCTCTGAATTAATGACTACCAGGGAGACGTCTCGCCCACTGAGCAGTTCCCGGACAGTGTCTCTCCTAAGTCAGAGCCCTTGGCAAAGGGCCAAAGAACCCTTCTCTCCCCAGCCAGCCAGCCAGCCATCTCCATGGCTGGGAAGCACTTTGCCATCAACTCGGCATTTTATTTTATTTTTATTAAAAATATTTTTATTGATTTCAGAGAGGAAGGGAGAGGGGGAAGATAGAAACATCAATGATGAGAGAGAACTGTTTCTTAAATTGAAATGTAATATAAAGATAAGGCTTCTTATTTTAAAGAAGAGAAACAAAACTAAGATTTTTAAATGTTCTAGTTTATTTAGCAATACATTGGATAAACAACCATGTTCTAAGGCTAACTTTAAGATAAATGCAATGAAAGTCCATGAATTCCCCTTAAAATTGCATATGCATTCTAAAATAATTTGGCCAGTGAATCTGCTTTATTTCAGATTTTGTAGGTTTGTAAAGTAATTAATTTTTGACATCAACATATACAATGCTTTCCTCTGATTCCAGTAAATAACCCCAATTTTCAGCTGAAGAAAATAAGAATCAGTTAAAAGGTTCCAATTATTTCTTTCATGCAAGTAAGTGAGAACATATTTAATATAAATTTAACAGTCACTTATTTGTTCATTCAACATGTATTGGACACCTGCTCTGTGCCAGGAACTCTGTTAGCTAGCGGGGAATAGAGCAGCGAACAAGATAAATATAGTTTCTACTCTATGGAGCTCACACTCTAGTCAGAAATCTTGCCATTAAACAAGTTCAGACAGAAAGAAGTCAACAATTGAGATGAATGTGGTGCGATCCAATGAAGGGCGCTTATACTTTCGGTTTACTTATCAAACTGTGGTTTCCTGCTGAGGTGGTTTTGATGATCTAAATTTTGATTTGCCTCATAAAAGATGTTTGAATTAAAATTAAACAAACAAATAGAAAGTCTACTACAGACACAAAATCATTTCTGATTGTATCTGCGTGGAATATAAAAAATGACACACAATTCTTACAATGCTGGTTATTCTAGAAATGCTTTTAACCAGGGCGGTTTCCAAGGGAATTCATGACCGCTTCAGGTTAATGGTCATTGGCTGCTTGTTCAGCCCTCAATTAAACTCTGAACTTCAATTGTTATTACTTAATTGACTTGGTTATATTTCATGTCAGCATTTCAAAATGACCTTCCTTTTAAAAAATAAAGATTAGCCTGACGACGTACCTTGGACCTTGGCTGTGCCTAACTCGCGGCAGCAGCCCCACACGATACACAAAGCTGGGCCTGGGACTTGCTCAGCTTTGCCATCGTCACCAGGGTACTTTTCACCATCCTCGCCTACGATACGAGACAGTTCTAGATAAATCCACGTGACGAGGGAAAAAGAACGAAAAACAACATACATCTGTTGCCATGATTATTATTAAAATGCCACATAAATCCACCGATACCCATTTTATTCTAAGCACAGGGAATTAGACAACCTTAAATACCTTGAGTCTCGCAATTAAATATGGTCAAATTAGACTTATTTTGAGATGACACTACGGTATCTTTTTCTGACGAGCGACTCCAAATGTCTAGTTGTTCCAATTAACTCGATGGAAACATAAGTCCCCTTCACTTAGACATAAAGCAATAAGCACACGTTGGATTTAATGAGTCGGACTTTATATAAAGTAGGTACGACGCCAAGATCAGACTTTGCTATACTGGCTGAAACAAATTAAGGCATCAAATGAGCACGTCCCCTCCCCCTTGTTCTGTGGAAAAGTTTTAAAAGTCTTTTTGAAGTACTTTGATCAAGCTTTGAAATCATTTGAGTGGATTACTATTGTATGGAAACTGTAATTTATAGTGCTTGACCTAAGCAGCTCTTTGTCTCACAGCCGCGTTCAAAACAATAGCAGGAAAGTGAAACACACAGGGGAACCCAAGCTGTTCTGGTCATTATTTAATTCATAATTCCATCTTCCTTATTTAATCTTGGGAATCCAGGCATGTTCTTCATGACACGGGTTCGGGGCGTGCTGACCATATATAGGAAGGTTAGCTTTGGGAAGCATGGCCAGGCGATGCGAACGGGCGCACGGGATCCTGCCTAACCTAGGGTGACTCTGCACACAGGTGCAGGCAAACTGCTGTGGCTTGCCTTTGGGTTTCCTCTCTGGTTAAGCTGGCTTAGTCCCTTAACCCTAATTGAGAATGTGCCCCTGGGAAGATGGTCTCCCCGCCCCCTTGCCAGCAAATAGTTATGCTTCGCGGCAACTTGCTCCCATCAGATCACATAAAGGAGGGCAAGCCGCCCCAAGACCAACAGCTGGGATGCTTCTCTCACTCAGTCCTACGGGCACTGCACTGTCTCCATTTATATTTAATCAACTGAGCATCACCACTCGGGCTCAACGTGGCTGCCAACCTCACATGTTCCTTCGGCTCCTTTTGCCAAAACATTGACTGGTGGCCTAAAACCATACCGGACCCCGAGAAGTTTATTATCTTAGTTAAAAGTTGCACGATCTTTCAGATGCCACAATGCCCTGGAATGAATACTCTGGCAGCTGGAGGGTGCTGAGGAATGCTCTTCCCACAGGGGTGAGATCAACTGCTCCCACCCCCACCCTTTACTCCGAAGACATGTGGATGAGGACGGCGATGGGGTGAAGTTTTGTCCTGGGATCTCTCCTAGAGAAGAGCCCAGGAGTAGTGACAAAGTGCAGGATGCACTGGGAGGAAACTGGCAAAGGCTGGGGGGGGGGGGGTCAGAGGGGGGGAGAGGTGGGAAGTGAGGGGAAGAAGGCAGTAAAGATTTCATCCCATCGGAACACAGGTCTGTAGGGGAGCAGGTTATAGAGCGCAGACATCCAGGTATCTTGGCTCCGGAGAGGAAAGAACACAATGGGTACAGCTCCTCCGTGAGGATTACCTGATCACGTGGGCCCTGTGCATTCATCAGTGTGGCCCACCTGGGACTCTTTAGTGGAATCAAGCCTTGCAGACAAGGAGCAGGTACCCACACCAATGGCTGAGAGAGAATTATTTTCCCTGGAGAGCCAGCTCTACTAGGGACCCCTGAGCCTTCCCTTTTATATGTGTTTTTCCGAGTCGTTAGAAGAGTTGACATATCCCTCATTAGAAGGCAAAAGAAAAAAATGATCCTCCTTATGTTTTGAGGGGGTTGTTTGAGATGGGGGAAGGAGTCTGGGGTCACCTTACATACCAGCGTTGGGCCAGCTTTGCTCGGAGCTGGGCCCCTGCCATGCTCCAAGCCGGTCTCTTCCTTATTTGTGAGAGCAGATGCTTGGCAAGCCCATAGATGCCAGCGAGAGCATCACTTAGTTTTACGTTTGCACACACGCCTGCTTCTGGGCTGGCACATTCGTTAGCGCAGTTTGCGGAGAGCTGCGCTAATGACGACGGCAATAAAAAAGGTGACGTCTTGTGTCTGCTTTCCAGGGCTGATGTTTATATTGTCCAAACTAAACTGATGTTTATATTGTCCAAACTAAACAAACACGCACAGATATCATACAGGTAAGTATTTCTAACAGAAAGAGAAAGCGCAAGCTTTAAGCTTCCGGTCTGGGAACCTTACTCCCTTCCCCCCCACGCCTCCGCCTGAGGAGGAGTAGGTATAACCATCCCATTAGTTCTCCTGTGGGAAGAGCTTAGTTCTTGTAACTTCATCATCGTGTGCACAGTGGGCTGCTGGTCTCTCTCGCACTTTTAGGAGCCAAATTTGAAAACCTTATTCATAAAGAGGAGGCGGGCCTCTGCGGGGGAACACGGATACCTTCTCATAACACATTATGTCAGGGCACCGGGTAGAAGGAATACGAAATGCAAGCACCTCTATGTTTTAACTTGTGTACCCTCACCATGCATTTGTTTAATGTAAAACAAACAAAGCCTCGACAAGGGTTTAACAGGGTTTTCAACATCTCTGCAGATAAATGTGATTTATTCCTAAAGAAGAAAAAGCAGCTTAGAGCAGGCCATGAAAACTGCCTTTAACAACAGTTTTGTGTGTGTGTGAGTGACTGTGTGTACCAAGACAACAGCACTGGGTTTCGAATTGTTCTATTTCACTCACAAAACCTGCTTGAGGCACTTTACATGGAAAGAGAAGTTTGCCTGATACCTGTTTACCAGTTCACCGCCTTTCGCGTTCCTTTTTGTTGAAGGCAACCCCTTCAGAGCTAAAATCCGCCGGATCGGACCTGACACGCCTGTGTCTTTCCAGAGGAAGAGCAGCAGGCAGACCTGGGAAACCCTTTTAGGTACAAAATGAACGGGGTGCTGATGGCATGGTGAGTTTTGTGAGGGAACCAAGCAATGCAGATAACTTACACACGTTTGTAAAAACTTACACCTTTATTAACAGCTCCAAACTCGCCAATTCAACATTGCCAAAGTCATGTTTTGTCAATGTATTTTACTAAATATATTTCTGGGCATACATTAATCTTTAACTTCCCAAAAGACAGATTTATAATGAGTTCACTGATGTTTTGCTTTAGTGAAATCTGATTTGCAGCATAGAAGGTGACCAAATAAAGTGAACAGATACACCCTCTGCCTGATTCTGCTTCTTGAAAATCGTCCCAGGTTCACTTCCAGCGCACTTCATTCGTTCCAAGCTGAATATTTCTAATGCCCCAGTTATGAGCGTTTTATAATTACGTGGTATAAAATGCAGGTGAAAAGCAGTGCACCAAATGCACTTTCAAAGAATTTTGCTCATAAAAATACGATCGCACATCACTGAGAACTAGCCACGTTTTAAAAATAAACTCCTGTCTCGGCTGGCACCTCGCTCCAGCCGCCCCGCTCCGCCCCCCGCCCGCGGAGGAGTGCGGTTTCTAGACACAATGTAACGGACACTTTCCAATGAGATAAATGAGAAATGTTTGGTGCTCAAATAAGTCTTAGGAAAAGAGGAAATTCTCATCAAGTGTATTTTTCAGCTTGGCTCAGGGCCCTGGAAGTCAGGAAGCCGCGAAGCCTGGGCGAAGGCGGCGGCACGGGCTGCCCGCGGGGCCTCGGAGCCCGCAGGTGAGGGCGAGGATTCGGCTTCGGACCATGGCCTCAGTGTTGCTGGGACCCGGCTGGATGCTGCCACGCGGTCATGCGACCCTGGGTGTCTGGGTTTCATGAAGAGAAGGGGGAGGGGGAGGAATCTTAGGGGAAAAAAAAATAAGAGGGTGATTCGGGGACTGGGAGGAGCATTGAAAAATCACACCTTGGAGTCCCCACGTTTTCCCTTTTGTTCAGTATTCAGGGAGAAACCATCCGGAAGGAAGACAGATTATGACTATCTATAAACCAACTGTTTGACAGAGACAGAAACGCTGACAATGAGTGGGTTGTGTCTGTAGCTCTTGGCTGCTCACATCAGCAAGGGATGAAGGAAAACAGAGACTCCTGCTATGTTTGTCTAAAGAGGCAGTGGTGTGACCACGGGCAGCAAGGGTTCAGCTGGAGTTCAGGGCAGATGTTGCCAGGAGTTGACGCTGCAGGGAAGTGAAATTGCTTCCGGATCCACCTTCCCCCCGCAGCCTCTGGTCCAGGCCCGTCAGGGCGCAGCGGCGCCGTGGCACAAGGTGACGATGTCCGTGGGGAAGCAGGCTTTGAGCAGGATGCCCCTCTCCCGGTTACAGTCCAGCTCCTGGATGAATCCGTACCAGTAGATGACCAGGCCCGGCCCGAATCTGCACAAACACGAGAAAACAATACACACGCATAGGATCAGTGTAGCTCCCCACACAGGAACCTCTGAAGCACGGATAAGATGGTTACACAGCGTTATTGCACAATGTTTTCATTTTGGTTGCTACATAATGACTGAAAGTAGCGGAACTTACACCGAAGAGTTAACTTAATGCAAGGCACATTTATTGCCTTTCTTTCAAGGAACCTGACGTATGTCAGATGTATGCACTGCCCTCATTACCTTTCAGGAAGATGCTATGGGCTTGGCCTGATGTGACCACTTAGCTGATGGAGGATAAAACCCGAGTCGAAACAGTGATGAGCCGGAGGCACCGGCTTGGGATTTTAGTCTTCTTACATTCAGAAGTATTCTGAAAAATTATCTTAGCTATTTTCAACTGAGGAAAAAGAATACTAAAAGAAAAAAAAATAATTAAAAAAAATGGAACAGCCCAAAGTCCTCTTCGGGCTGTCATGTTCTATCCGTGCATCAGTAGGGCCCAAAGTCCCTTCTGTCATCCTTGCTTTTCAGTTTAAAAGAAAAAAAGTCCACTGGACAAGGGGACACCTCATAGAGACCTTCTCCCCGGGCCTGCATTCTCTGCGCTCCCACCTCTCCACGTGCAAACACGACATGAAATTTGGTCGTAGGTTCTTATGAAAACAGGAACAATGGCACAGAGACCTGTGACAAAGCACAGGCAGATGCAGGCTTAAAACCTCAATTTTCCTAAATGGTGCCCCCGAACGATCTCGGATTTGGCTAGCAGCAGGCTCAGGAAGTCGCCCTACGGATTCCTCACCCCTCAGGAAGTCGAGACCTCCAGGCTGGGTTCATAAAGATGCAACCACGATCCATCACCGCGCGCACAGAGAGGTTTTGCACATCAGTTTCACGTTTTCCCTACTGAAGGTACTTAATTAAAGGGCAGCACTACTTTCGGTGTCGTGTTGCAGGAATTTTACAGTGGAATCATAAATTATGAATGCTGGGTTAGTAAAAGGATGTCTAAAAACAGAACTGCTTTCTGTATTCTGACGTTACAGCAGGCTGAACCACGCCAGGCCAGAAAGCTCTTTCCTTCCATGATTTATTGTATGCGGCGGCGTTCTTGCCAAAACTAACAGTACAGGACGGGCTGTGAGATACTGTGTGCCCAGGAACAAGTTCAGCTGGATGTCACGGACTGGTTTATTTGGGGATCCACATCAGCAAAGTAGCCCAGTTGGAGGCAAGATTCATGACAACATTTTGCATCCCCTCCGTGCAAGGACAGAACCATGAGGCGGGAACTAATCCGCTGAACTTGTTCTAGGGGACGCAGGAGCTACGTCTGGATGACACTCCTTGCAGCACCAGGCCCTGTGACGTTTACCTGAATGCAGGCCTGGCTGCAGATGCTCTCCTCCTCCTCCTCAGCGTCTCTGAGGAAGGTTCCTTTGGGTTCAGAAGACTCAGACTGCCTTGGCACAGGGTGTGGGCTCCCGTGCTGACATACACACAAGGCAAAGCTCACACCTGGATGAGAACTTGCTTCTATGTATCTGAGGGCTGCTTAGTAACTTTAAATCACAAACATTTGTCTGCAACTGGAACACAGACTATTTGGTGTCTTTATTTTACAAAAAGCACTGTGATTGTTATCAAATGATCTCAGATCTGTCAAAACAAGTCTGGGAATGGCAGGAAGACCTGCGAGTCTCGGGACCGGATCTGAGAAGCCTCAAACCTTCCCATCCACAAAGCAGCCCTGAGTCACAGCCTCGCAGACCCAACCCAGAGCGCAGAGCCTTCGCCCATCATGTGATGCAGCCATTCTGGAGACCGTGATGTTCTTTGGAAAGGCACTGATATTTCCACAAAGGGAGAAAAAAATCTGTGATCTAAACAGTCATGGAAAAGAACAAAGAAATATATGGGGGTCATAAACAACAAGCCCGGTGTTTTAAAGATTTAATAAAACAAAAACACACATCACCGGCACCGAGAGCAAGAGCAGCCTGTACGTTGGCCCAGCAGCTAAATCATAAGCCAAAGGACACGAAGCATGACAGCTCTTTGCAAAAATGGCATTTTCCAGGCGCAAAAGCCAGGCTGGGGAACACCTCAGCCACAAGAAAGGGGACTCGTTTCACTTGTGAGGCCACAGGTAAAATCTGCAACTCAAAAGGGTTTCTGCAAGATTGGGAATCTGAACATTCCATGGGGTGGTTCCCAACCAGGACCCTCCAAGGTAGTGACAAGAATCTGTGAGTTGTCATCGGTACATATGACGGGGGATTCCTAAGGAGACTCCACCATGTATCTAAGTGCTTGTTTCTTTGCTTTCGGATGAATTTATAGTTACTTAGGTAATACTAGCTCTCACACGTGGCTCAAAAGCTCTGATTGAAAATAGGTGCTTAAAGACCAGGAAAGACAACCACCCTTTGTAAATAGAGATTGGTAGATGGAGGTTTTCAAATTATTGGCCTTGGAGTGAGAAAGGTAATAGGAACTTTAGAGAGTGACTAGGTTGGAAATGTAATGACAGGACAAGATCTGGCCTTGTTCCTGATACCTACTTGAGTGCCTTTCTGAGCTGTCCCCAACTTGGGATCCAGAGACTATGCGATGCTGGCAAGATAACCTTTCAGCAACTTGTCTATTTATGAAGAGGCTGACCATATTAACAAACTTGACATCATTGCTTCCTTGGTGATCTGAACTAACAGAAGGGAACCTTATGGTTAACAATTGGAAAAACCAAGCAAGCCAACTTCAGCGTTTTCTTCTGAGAAGGTGTAAAACAGAGACAACAGGACCTACGAAATTTTTATGTAGGTCAAGTACATGCTTGTGGGTTGAGTGATTTCACCTTTTGGATGCCTGCTGCCATTTATTGTGGCACTAGTGGACGAGAGTGAGATCGCTGGGAAGGCAAACATAACCTTTGTGACCAATAAAAATCAAAGAGACTGTTAACGGCGTTTAAAAGAAAACAGAGTCCCTGGGTCTGAGCGAATGTGCAAAGCAGAAAGTTGGCCTGCTACTGGGGTTGCAGCCCTCCGCACCAGCCCGGGGACACGCAGTAATGGGATGTATACGGATAGCTAACTGTAACTTTAATGTTACTACTATACTCATGGTCAAGTAATGAGATCAAAGACTCCAAATAGATTTTACAAAGTCCTATGGAGCAGACACTGGAATGTGAGTGACGTCTGAACAAGTTAATTTTGCCTGCAAATAAAATACCACCAAATTAGCAAAAATAACAAATACCTCCTGGAAAAAAATGGGAGGTGAAAGTCAGGAGCCACGACAGACCCTGAGGGGATGACATTCTAGGTAAATGAGTTTGTAATTTGCTTCTCTGGGTTCCTTTCATTTTAGAGTATTTAGAGAAATTAAACAGGAGTCTGTGGAATAAAAGCTGGGCACCCTTTTGGTTTTTTTGTGCACATCTGTCTCCCAGGGATCAGCTTGGTTTCACCGTGTCTCTCTGCTCTATGGTGATCCTGTTGGGCTAAGCTTCCTTGCAAATTAGTGACATTTCTGTGACTGGATCTATGAAATCAAGGCTGGGCTTTTATCGAGTTAAAAAAATGGAGCCAACACATAAAAATTGGGAGGTTGTACACAAAATCCTGCGTATTCACCGTCTCCTGAGAAATGAGCTGATACGGCCACAATCAGTTGGAGCTGAGTCATGGCTGCCCGCCTGGACCTGCCATGTGCTCTCAGGTCTGCCACAGTCTCCACCGCTCTCTGGCGCTGTTACTCCGGCGAGGCTCAGTGCCAGGTGCCATTCCTCATCATGCCTCACTTTAGATTTTCTTTAATTGTAGAGGCCTACTTCCTCATACTCACATCTCTGTCAAATCTGGGAAAGCAAAGACAAGCTCAGGGGATTTCACGTTTCACTAAAGAAACAGAAGATAATACATTTTTTTTTAATGTTCTGCCTACTCTGCTCATTTCTGTTGCCCACCTGCACCCTGTGGGCATTTGAGACTTGGCCCTGCCTTGAGATCTAACTCAGAGGTTCCCAAACTTGGGCCAGAGGCCCTTGAGTGGCTGTGAATAGACTGCAAGACATCCTTATGCACACTAAGCACTGTCCTCCGAAAAAATAAAATAGATCTCGTCCTCTTTTGGAGAGGTAGATAACAAAATAGGTAGCTTTCAGGTATTATGTATTTTCTAAGTAGAAGGAATCTGAAAGTACAGCTATAGTCTGGCCAGCGTGGTTCAATGGTTGAGCGTCAACCTATTAACCAAGAGGTCACGGTTTGATTCCCGGTGAGGGCACATACCTGGAGTGTGGACTTGATCCCCAGTAGGGATCGTGCAGGAGGCAGCCGATCAAATGATTCTCTCTCATCATTAATGTTTCCATCTCTTTCTCTCTTTCCCTTCCTCTCTGAAATCAATAAAAATATATTTAAAAAATAAAAACACAGCTATAATCATGTGGGGGCAGGAGAGTTAGCCATAATTCTTTTTTGTTTTTAAGACTTTCAAATTTGGCAGGATTAGGGACACTGTTCTAATGGGTTTGGTCTCCTTTTCTGGATGAATGTGAACTGCATACACGAAGGAGATTCTGTGATCTGGGTAACACTGAAGATGTCTGAAAATACTGAGCAAACATGTAACTAACCTGTCCCTGCACATGAGGTTCATCTTCACAGTAAAAAATGGGCTAGAAGGAAAGACACAGTTCCTGCCCCGGGTCGCACTGAGAACTCACTCCGCCGAGAGCAGCCTTGCTGCTGCTATCTCCGGGAAGAGGTACAGAGAGAAGCACCTGACTGCCCTCGGCAGCGGCAGTAATGAAAAGGGACCCACGCGGAGGTGGTGCTGGAGTTCGAGTTGCGACTGAGAGTTGCAGAGAGATACTGTGTTGGGCTGACTCCGAAGGTGGTCCCCGCCTCCTGGGACTCGTGCCCTTGTTTAATGCCCTCCCTTTGAGTGTGGGCTGGATCTAGTGTCTAGGTTCTAAGAGAAACAACA